AGACTTAGAGTTGGGGTTGCAAGCATTAAACAGGTTATAAGTCATAAGTAGACTTAGAGTTGGGGTTGCAAGCATTAAACAGGTTATAAGTCATAAGTAGACTTAGAGTTGGGGTTGCAAGCATTAAACAGGTTATAAGTCATAAGTAGACTTAGAGTTGGGGTTGCAAGCATTAAGCAGGTTATAAGTCATAAGTAGACTTAGAGTTGGGGTTGCAAGCATTAAACAGGTTATAAGTCATAAGTAGACTTAGAGTTGGGGTTGCAAGCATTAAACAGGTTATAAGTCATAAGTAGACTTAGAGTTGGGGTTGCAAGCATTAAACAGGTTATAAGTCATAAGTAGACTTAGAGTTGGGGTTGCAAGCATTAAACAGGTTATAAGTCATAAGTAGACTTAGAGTTGGGGTTGCAAGCATTAAAGCAGGTTATAAGTCATAAGTAGACTTAGAGTTGGGGTTGCAAGCATTAAACAGGTTATAAGTCATAAGTAGACTTAGAGTTGGGGTTGCAAGCATTAAACAGGTTATAAGTCATAAGTAGACTTAGAGTTGGGGTTGCAAGCATTAAACAGGTTATAAGTCATAAGTAGACTTAGAGTTGGGGTTGCAAGCATTAAACAGGTTATAAGTCATAAGTAGACTTAGGAGTGGGGTTGTAAGTACCCATGAAGTCGTCCTCCGATGCTCAGGAAGCGCTGAAGGCCACGGGTGCGAGCGACGTCTCCGCGGCGGTGGAAGCGGTCTCGGCCGGTCTCTTCAAGATCAAGGCTGGGCCCCCAGGTGATGACCACAATTTTTTGATATCTATATAAGTACTATGAAGAATATGATTAACACATAGTATCAATATCATGATTGTAACGGTTTTCATGGGGTTTTATAGCTTGTTACAATACAAGGTTTTATAGGTTGGGATGTTCCCCCTTTTACTAGCAGTCCTTCATCGGTACCCTCTCTAGTAGAAGCCCTACCAAGGACTGTTGGTATGGGGGGGGGGGGCATCCCGGTTTATTGAGCTCAGCAGGTTCTTAGGGTTTCATCGGGTTCATAGAATTCATAGGGTTAAGGCTGGGCCCAGGTGATTATAAGGTCTACCAGGGAGCGGTGTATAGGGCTTAGATGGTTTATAGGGTTGAAGGTTTCAGGTTTTTGGGTTTTGAGTTTTTTAGGGTTTAAGGTTGAAGGGTTTTATTATAAGTTGTGCGTGTATGGGGTGCTTAGGGCGCATAGGGTTCACCGGGTTCATAGGGCTCATAGAGCTCATAGGGTTCAATTTGGTTCATCGGGTGCAGGGTTGTATGGTTCAGGGTTGAGGGTGACCGAAAAGGCCTTTGGGAGACGTCGAGAGAGACAGAGAGAGAGAGACAGACAGAGAGAGAGAGACAGAGATAGAGAGAACGAGCGAAGAATAGAAGAAAAGAACCAAAAGGAGGCGGGCCAACCTGGGGTTGAATCCCCCCTGGCCCAACACGAAAGGGAGGTGGAGAGAGGCGGCTTAATTTCGGGCGGCTTTAGAGAAGGTAACGGGCCATATGAAAGGACCATGTAACTACCCTTTGGTTTTCAACAGAAGGCGCGGGCGGCGTGTTGTGTTGGGGTGAGCGGTCTCCTTGTGTGACCCACTTCACAGGCCCTCAACCCTAAATCTTAAAGAGCCGTATACATGTTTACATTAACCTAAAGAACCCTCATCCGAAAGAGCCCTCAAAAACCCTAAGTACCCCCAAAGCCTAAACCCAAAATCAACCCTGACCCCGAACAGGCGCTGAAGGGACGCGAGATCCTGGACTCCCGTGGCAACCCTACCGTGGAGGTAGGGCCCGCAATTCATGTCAATCACAGTCTTTGACAAATTTGGTTCCCACCTGTCACTGTCTTTTATATTGGGGTTGGCAGCCCAAACTCCAGTTTTTCAACTCACAAGAAAGAGCATGTCATCAGATTTCAGAGCCACCTCCCGAACAATGTGATCCAGTTCATGATGGGTACACCCAAAGAGCCCCATATCCCCTAGTTAAGGAGTACACCAAAAAACTCTTCAATCATATTCAGGATCCCTTTATTTGAATATTCCTTAATTAATAGGTATACTAATATTCCTTACTTAAATCAAACTAATATTCGTTAACTGAGGGCACATGTACCCCCTTGCAGGTAAATCATGTTGAAGATCCCTACATAAATTATGGTATATTGATATTCCTTAATTAAGGGCAACCCTAAACCCTAAACCCTAAACCCTAAACCCTTGCAGGTCGACCTCACCACCGAGGGAGGAGTCACCGTTACCGCGGCGGTGCCCAGCGGCGCTTCTACGGGCGTTCACGAGGCGAGGCCTTCAGGTTTTTTGGCGGTCTTAGGAAGGTTTAGGATTTAGGGTTTAGGGCTTAGGGCTTAGGGTTTAGGGTTTAGGGTTTGGGTGTAGGGTGTAGGGTTTAGAGGTCTTAGCAAACTCTGTTCAATTGCCTGCAAACTGGACAGTTGTGTGTGACAGTGTCCGCTATCATCGGAAGTAGGAGGGGTTACGGGTTGGGCAGGAAGCTCGTTGTAAAAGGGGTTCTAACCTTGGGGACCAGATGAACCCTAACGCTCGAGTCATACCACTATCATTCCTGGGAACCATAAAATCCTTTAGGGTTGGTGGTAGTCCGTGTAGGCTTTCACACGATAGGTCTCCGAGCGTGCCTCACTAATATATTCTTGCAATATTCTCGTATTATGTTTATTCTGTTAGAATCGTATCTTTATTGTGTTAGAAGTATATCATTCTTGTATTATGTTGGTTTTTTCATTGTAGTATCATTGTAAATCCCCAAGCCTGATGCAAGGCCTGTGAGCTTCGGGACGGAGACAAAGCACGCTACCTGGGGAAAGGCCTTGTCGTTGAGTTTTAGGAGTTTTGGTTGGTAGTCTCGGGTATGGGCTTTAGGGTTTAGGGGTCCTGGGACGGTTTTGGGGAGTGCCTATTTGCCCTAGCAAAAGAGGCGATGTGCGGCGAAGGTGAAGGGAGCAGGACAGAGGCGTAAGACCTTTCATCTGAGGCTCAGAAAGCAACCTGTGCTAGGAGTCGTGAGCTCCAGTGCTGGGTCATGGACACAAGGGTTCTGCCAGTGGGAAGAAGCTCATCATGCCGCACCCCATAAGGGTATTTGCCTCTGAAACCCGTTTAGGACTCGGATTCATCTAAGCCCTATGAAAGGGGGGCACTTGGGTCTTCATGCGTAAAACCTTATATTGAAGTTCAGAGAATTCCATGCCCCATGCCTTCCGTGGGAAGGCGTCTTGAAGGCCGTGGAGTCTGTGAACACGGTGCCCCGGAGTGCCAGGGTTACGGGTTCCTCCCTATATCATACTGCGGCCCCAAGAAGAGGGGATCGTATTTCAGGGTTTTGGGGCTTCAGGGCTTAGAATTTCGTGGCCCAGGTAGCACGCGAAGCAAGAGTTGGAGATGAAAGCCTGTGTCCAGATGTCAAGAAGCATGAAACCCTAAACCCTAAACCCTTAACTCTTTTGCAATGGCAACATACGCCCATTCTTGCGTAGAAACGGGAGCTCGAGCCTCGCCAGGCTGGTCCGAGTTTGAGCGGTGAACCCCCTAAATAATGACGCGATCATGAGGGTTCTAAGATGCTCTTAAGGCGGAGTGTGCAGAAGGAGGGGAACTTCAGGAGCGTGTCGCTTGTTTTTTGAGAAGCCCAAGTCCAGGTTCTTACCTCGGAGCTCAAGGGCTTTGACGTGTCAAAGCAGAAGGAGCTGGATGAGAAGATGATTGCGCTCGACGCCGTGCGAGTTTGCTTAGGGCTTCAAGGGTTTTTGGGGCTGGTAGCGAACCGTGGCCAAGACTTGCTCGGGCTGCTTGCTGGTTTTGCCGCCGAGTGTTGACGCCCCTAAACCCTAAACCCTAAACCCTAAACCCTAAACCCCATAAGTCTTCACTTAGGATGGCACCCCCAACAAGAGCAAGCTCGGCGCTAACGCCATCCTCGGGGCGTCCTGGTGGCAGTAGCACATCGGGAGCCTACACGTGCCCCCACACAAGGCGGCATGCCCTCAACATTGGCTCATTAGCTGAATACAGGTGCCGAAATTTCTAGAAACATATCTATATGGATGCACATGTATCATATACATATATCATATACATATATATATATATATATATATTTCTATGTACATATGTACCATCTTAGAAGTCCTGCGCAAGGGGAAAAACCCTCAAAGCTGACCCACATGAGTCCGACGAACCTCCCAGGTGTCCATGGCAGCAGCCAAGGCTGCAGCTGTGGCCAAGGGCATCTCCGCCTGCGGTTTGGAGCTTTGCGAGGTTTAGGGTCTTTAGGGTTTAGGGTTTGGGGTTTATAAAGGGGTTTAGGGCTCAACAGGGTTTAGGGTTTAGGAACGCTGCCAGGCGCAGCCCTCAGAAGCCTGTTGCAACGGGTTCAAAAGGGTTTAGGGTTTAGTTGAGGGTTTAGGGTGTAGAGATGAGGGTCAAAGGGCGGCATTCCGCGTCGACGTCGTGTGGGTGGGGGGATCGGGTTCCTTTCCTGAAGCGCCGCAATGGAGCTCAGTTCCCCCAAACCCTAAACCCTTAGGGGGGAACATCCCAACCCATCTCTGTTCAAAGAGCCGCCAGCCGATGAGGTATCCCACTGTACCAGCACTTCGCAGAGCTGGCAGGTGGCCCTGCTTAGAATGGCCAGGGTTTAGGGTTTAGGGTTTAGGGTTTAGGGTTTAGGGTTTAGGGTTTAGGGTTGCCGCGTTTCAGAGCCAGCTGACATGCGGAGTCTGGGTTCAAAAGTTTAGGGTTTCTTCCAGGTTCAAAAAAGTTGAGGGTTTAGGGTTTATAGCTGGTTCAGGGTTCAAAGATGGTTTAGGGGTTTGGGGTTTATAGGGCGTAGGGTTGTTTAAGGCTTTCGGGGTTTGGGGCTTCTCTATCCCTCCAGTAGTCTAGAAACCGTTCAAGGCCATTAGTGCCTTTTGAGCTTGCGGGGTTGACAGGGTCTAGAGTTTGTAGGGTTTATAGGGTTTATAGGGAGGCTTCATCTGTAGCATTGGCCAGGAAACGGCTCCAAGCTGACCCTCCCGGTGCCGTGCTTCAACGCAGCTGGGGCAGAAGAGGGCCAAGTCTCTTGTTTTCGGGGCAGGACCCTAAACCCTAAACCCTAAACCCCCCTTCATGTTCCCTACAATTTTGAAGGACGCTTTGGTCGTAGACTCGTTGGCGGCCCCCTTTGGCGGAAGGGTTTTTTTGGAGGCGCCCGACGACTCTAGTTGAAGACAGGGGTATGTTCAGCTCTGCTACGCCAGGCTTAGGGTTCAGGGTGTAGGGCTGAGGGTTGGTGTTAGGGGAATCCCGAAGTTTGGCGGCACACACCCTATACTACTGTCGTTCCCAGTTGAGGTAAGATGAGCCATGAACCCATGTCGGGCTTCAGCTCCTTGAAAGTTGAGGTGATCAACGGCGGATCCCACGCCGGAAACAAGTTGGCCTTCCAGGAGTGGCCTCGAAGCAAAGCTTGTTTGTTTCTTCTCAGGGCTTAGGGTTCCGATATGGGGCTTTCCGAAAATGATGGCGGGGAGGGGTGTGCCCCTTTTGGGGGTCTCTAAGGGGGTTCTATTCCATTTGGGGTGTAAAAGGGGTGCCCCCTAGTTTGGGAAATACCCCTGTATTAACTCCAATTTCCAACGTTCCATGATCTAGGTTTAGGGTTGGGGCTTAAAGTTTAGGGTTTACAAACCAGAAAACCCTCTATAGGGTTTAGGCACAAAGGGCTTTTGGGCTAACGACATCTGAGTACGTTCTCTCCGGCGCGGCCGCGAGACCTCACTAGACCCTATACGCCCCTAAGTTGCCCTGAAGCTTGCACATAGCATCATTCCAGGGACTGAAGGAGGGACCCCAAAAATGGTTAGGGGTTACTTGGGGGGTAAGAAGGAGCTACGAGGTACGTAGCGACCATATGCCGCAAAAATCGGGGCTATATAGGGGAACAAGATTTCGAGTCCTTATACACCGTAAATCATTCCAAGCCCGAAGTCCCCTGAAGCAAGGTACTTCATCATCCCAGTGGGAGCCTCGTCCTTCAAGGACCGCGGGAAGGATGAGGTTTTGCCCCATGCCCCATCCCCACCCCCAACAAACTGGCCTACGGGTGGGGTTTAGGGTTTAGGGTTTAGGGTTTAGGATGTAGGGTTTAGGGTTTAGGGTTTAGTAAGGTTCAGGGAACAATGGGAGCCCAAGATTCTTCACCGAAAGAGTTCAAGGACCCTACCAAAGGCCTGAACCTTATCAGCCCTAAACCCTCATCAGCGCATCTCTCCCGACCCAAACTCCTAGACCCCCTCCCCAAAGAAAAGATGAATGGAACAGTTAGTATAGAAAACATATAAACCCTAACCCTAAACCCAAAATCCTAAACCCTAAACCCTAAACCTTAACCGTTGTTAAGAACCACTATAACGAAACAACAAAGCCATGCTCCATGAGGATGCCATGCGGATCGGTGCCGAGTGCTACCACACCCTGAAGGGCATCATCAAGAAGAAGTGCCCTGGAGTTTAATGTTGTTGTTGTTTTTTCTTCTTTCGGGCTGTGGTCCATGTAGACAGAGTTTTAGGGCTCTAGGGTGTTAGCGCTTAGGTGGGGTTTAGAGGGTCTAGGGTTTTGGTTGAGGGTTTAGCAAGCTTAAGGTGTGGGCTTTGGAGGGTTCAGGGGCTTCAAGCCCTCCTTTCGGAAGGCAGTTTGTGGGTTAACAGGAGCCGACATAGGCAGATGGTTCACATATCTTGTCATGGGGAATCTGAAATCTAGTTGCACAGGGTTCAGAATGCTTGGGGCACCCCGAACCCTAAGCCCAGGGGGGGGGTTCAACCGTTTAATCTTACATACAAGGACCACGATAGCCCCCCGCCCAAAAACAGACCCCTGTAACTCTAAATCCCGTTCCTTCGCCCCTAAATCACAGTAAACCCCTGAATATGGATTCCCAACAGGAGTGTGCCTATTTTGCCTACTTTGGGGGGTCCCTGCGCAGCGGATCCTCGTAAAACCCCCGCTCCCATCCTGAGGCACATGCCCCATATGAACTTAACCAGAATCAGCTTCCGAGGTTCGGCGGTGACGCTACCCTCATCGGAGATGAGGGTGGTCCCTTTGCGCCAGTTGTGTTTATGTTAACAGAAAGGCCCTAAGTTGTTCCTACGATGGTTTTAGCAGGTGGTATAGGTGAAGATGGCAAGCCGCGTTTGCGAAGCTTGAAGTTAAGTTTTAAATTCTATAGCTGGCTATTGAAGCAATGGCCACAAGCTATCATGGTAGTTGCGTAAGACACTCTGACTGTCCGTAAAGGGCGGAGGCAACGACGTCATGTAGCGCTTGCTGTCTCTGGAGCCCGGGGGGATACATTCGGGCCCCGGAGCATCCAATGCAGTATGAACTCGCCCAGGTTTCGCCCCGCCCTGCGATGCCAAGCAGGGGGTGGAGCTGATTATGGAGGCCATTGAGAAGGCTGGGTTCTAGGGTTTAAGGGTTCAGGGTTTAGGGTTCAGGCTGGGGAGCCCAATGACCTTGAAACTTGGGTTTTAGGGTTTAGGGTTTTGATTGTGACGCAAGGTGTATTCCGGGGTGAAGTTTGGCTCTCTGGGGCTAGGGTAGGGTTGCGGAGCAAACTTAAGCTATGGCTCCCAGCATAGTGGTGTATTTGCCAATGTCTCTCTGGACGGCACACAAAATCAGGTAGGACCCACATGGCTGTGTGAATGGTTTTGAATAACCAAACGGTGGGGTATCCTTGACGAGATGGGACCTACATCTGGAGCACATGAAAGTAGGATGGCCCAGCATTGCAATCCCGTTGCTCCAGAACCCCAAACCCTAAACCCTAAACCCTAAACACCGTGCTGTGGCAAGCTCCTCCAGCACCCTAAACCCTACACCCTAAACCCGAAACCCGAAACACCGTGCTGTGGCAAGCTCCTCCAGCACCCTAAACCCTACACCCGAAACCCGAAACCCGAAACACCGTGCTGTGGCAAGCTCCTCCAGCACCCTAAACCCTACACCCGAAACCCGAAACCCGAAACGCCGTGCTGTGGCAAGCTCCTCCGCTCACCCTGCAGGCAGGGTACAAGGACAAGTGCAAGATTGGAATGGACGTGGCAGCCTCTGAGTTCAAGGTGCGCCGCCCGGTTTAGGGTTTAGGGTTTAGGGTTTAGGGTTTAGGGTTTAGGGTTTAGGGCTAAGGCCCTTGTAGACTCATCAGTACCAACTTTCTTGGATAAGACCCCCCTCGATCTCACAGTTGTTCGACCTTGGTACCGTCACTTAACCAGCGGAGAGAAGTCATAGCTTCAGCATGCAGTTTGGAATGTGGTGGTCTGACATGTGTGCAAGGAAGACGTACGAAGGATCTTTCAGCCGACATTTAGCAAAGCTTTGCCTGCTGCATGCCAACTGCAAGTCAAGTATCACATCTCAGTCAGTGCGTCGCGCAAGGTTTGTTTTTCGTATCGCCGTCTGGATCTGTCTTGTTTTGCACTTCGAGAGCATCATATGATTCGGCAGTAGTGGAAGTTCCTGTTGTGACAAGTAATCCTACCCAGCCCACCCTGATGTTGATAGCTCTTAACGAAAACCCACGCTTCTTCAGTGAACAGGTGGAGGGCGCTGACTGCTACGACCTTGGAACTTGGTATGCGGAGGCCTCCAGCATAGGCTTTGGGGGTCACACCCCATACGTGGAGCGCCCAGGGAGAGATGCGACAAGAGCCTATCAACATGAACCGTGAATGATGTCCCTTTAGTAACATAGCAGCAAGCACTCAAAATACCCTGGGGCTGAGTTGAGTAGGCTACGCGATGATCTGGAAGGCCTCCAAACTGCCCAAGAACCCAAAACCTGCAGACATGCCCTTTTGGATCCCGGCGAGTAGCATGCGTGTTATTGCGGGCGTAGGGAAGTGCAACAGATCTAGTGTCTCAGCATTTCACGCGCAACCACTTCCAGTGCAAGGCTTGTGACATGCCTTAGGATCTTGGGTGTCCACTTGAAAGAAGAAGCGGTCCTACTAAGTATAGTTATTATAAAGCGGCTCCAGGGCGTCGCGTGTTTATAGGGCTTTTGGTTGCCTTTTGGCCACTCATCGGGTTGTCAAAATATTTCTTAAGAGTTGAAGGCCGAGAAGACCCCGGATCTGAAGATGACGGGCGTCCAGCTTGCCGACTTCTACGCGGACCTCTGCAAGAACTACCCGCTGATCACCATCGAGGACTTTGGGGCTCTTGCAGTTTTCTGGAAGGAGTTGGGGTCTCCCCGTTGAAAGGGGTGGGGGTTCTTGAAAGAGGTTCTGAGATCAAGGGCGGCGATGAGGGAACGGCAAATAGTCCCTGAACCAAAGCTCGTACCAAACCCTATAAAACCTAAAGACTTAAGCCCTAAACATCCCGAAACCCTATACCCTATACTCTAACCCTATACCCTAAACCTGAAACCCCAAAACCCACCCCAAAGTCAGCCGTTTTCAGGACCCCTTCGACCAAGACGACTGGGCCGCCTGGTCCGCCTTCACTGAGAAAGTGGGTGGACCCACGCAGGCTCAGAGGGTGTTTTGGGGGAGGTTTAGGGTTTAGAGTTTAGGGTTTAGGGTTTAAGGGTAGCAAGGAGTCCAGTTGCAAAAAAGGGTTTAAGGGTACAGGGTCTAAGGGGCTGAGGGCGAAGGGTTGAGGCTCTTTTAGGGTTTAGGTCTATTTTGTGGGCTTAGGGATCAACAAGAGGCTTGCGATTGAAGGTTGAGGCTGTTCGAGGCCTGGTCTTGGATGAACTGCAAGTTAGGGGCCGTTTTTCAACGGCTTGTTGGAGTCTTTGAGGTTTAGATGACGCCCAACGAGCCCTCCACTACTTTGCAGCCTACACCTGCACCAAATCACGGCACGGACTTTTGGGGATCAAACGCACCCCCAAAATTGGGAGCAATTGGGAGCGCATACCCCAAACATGCGACTACAGTCTCAAAGAAGGTATAGGTATGATGGCCGCAAAAAGAGGTTTCATGTTGGCAAGTTCTCTACATTCTGTTCCCTTACCGGGCTCGGGCTGAAGCTACTGTAACAGGGAGCCTTAAATCTGGTTCAAACTGTACGGAACCTAATCATGGAACAAAAACCGTCCAAACCGCGAACAACCTGAAAGCCCTAAATTCCTAAAGCCTTCCCCAAGCACCCTAAACAAAATCCTGAGAAGTCAACAGCCCTTGACAAAATGAGGGAGTCGCCTGCAGGTTGTCGGAGATGACCTGACCGTCACGAACGTCTCCCGTGTGAAGAAGGCAATCGACGACAAGGCCCCTGAGCAAGCTCACGGTCCGGGCATTTGTTTAGTTACTCTTCCCTTTATGAGATACGCATATGCATATACATACAAATAAACAGATACAAATTACTTAATATACATATATAATCATATATATATATATATGCATGTATGTAGATATACACACATACATATAGTACCATATACATGCATATAACTGTTCTTGAAAACTCGAGATCTACATCAGGAGTACATGCTTCGCTTGTCTTGAGGGTGCTCCTCCTCAAACAATGCAGACAGCAACGAAGCAACTGAAGCCCACCCCACACTCATGTGTTATTTCACTTCACTTTGCTCGTTGTTCAGCAGACAAGCCCCGAATTACCAGCCAGTAGGCAAAGGCCTCTTGCCACAAGAGGCAAAGGCCTCAGCCGTTCTCACGACCATCGCAGGGCCCCGGGACAAATTTCAACAGTTTTGACGCGCTTTCCAAACCACTGGAATCACATAACATGTAAACATGTATATACATATATGCATGTGTATGTATGTATGTATGTATGTATGTATGCATGTATGCATGTATGCATGTATGCATGTATGCATGTATGCATGTATGCATGTATGCATGCATGTATGTATGTATGTATGTATACATATATACATACATATATATACATGAAAAAAAGTAGCAGACAAAATATGTAAATCAAGCCAAGGCCTGCAATGCCTTGCTGCTGAAGGTGAACCAGACACTTGGGTTCCGCAACCGGAGGCTTGAAGCATGCTATAGTTCTTGGGGACCAAATTAGCCCTAAAAAGGTTTATGGCTCCTCTACCTTCATAGGAATTTATAGTAAAAGGTATATGATCCCAATATTAGTGTTCATTTTGTCCCCAAGATAGTGGGTGTGTCTCCTGCCACATCCAGTGTCCCACATCACCGGGTTCCTTCGGGTAGTAGACTCGGTAGCAGACTCTATAGTGAGGACAGAGGTCCCATACGCCTTTGCTAGCGATCGCCGGCTTTTGCCTGTTTTTGCGGCATCGCAGGAACACTGAAAGAACGAGATGTCGAGAATTGCAGTTTGGGGGGCTGCGGTTTGGGGGCAAAACTGGCGGGCAGTTTGGCTAAGAAGCGATCACGGCAGCACCCGCCCAAGCCAGGCATGCTTGATAGGGTGTGTTTGGTTCAATTAGGGTTTTGGGTTTAGACTGTTATGTGAATCTCTCAGGATTGGAACCGTGTCCGAGTCCATTGACGCCGTCAAACTTTGCAAGGTGCCTGCTCCCCGATGTTCCACTCTGTGTGCTGTTTGTTTTTTTGGTCAGTCATTTTTATTACTACTGCCATTAGCTCTTCTCTATTCTTAGCAAAAGCTTCTTTTTTCTTTGATGGCGAAGTGTTCTTTTCACGTTTTCATGACGATCACAGCGTTTTATAGCAGGAGTGTCATAATTTTTCGTACTGCCATTGCGACTATTGCCATTCCTGAAATCATGGGTGCTGTTGAAGCTGCTGTTGTGGTTAATGCCATTGTCGTTGTTCTCCGTCAGGCGTACTTAGTTACTAAGTTCTTGCCGTTTTCATTGTTGCTGTTGACATTGTGTTCAATTCAATGTGATATGTTTTGCTTTGCCAGGGCAAAGAACAATGGCTGCTTCTGGGGTGAACAAATTTAGGTGGTCTCATGGCTGCTTCATGGACCTCCTTAGCCATGACATGGTTGGATACACCAACATGCAAAGGCCTGCACTCTGAAGCTCCTCCCCCCCCCCCCCCCCCTTCCTCCCCCCCTCCACTCCTCCCCCCCTCATACCCCCCCCTCCTCCCCCTCGCCCCTCCTCCCTCCACCCCCTCCTCCCCCTCCGTAGCACAACATTGACCACGTACGAGCAACCCCCGCTTATTCACAAACCATCTGCTGGAGAACCTATTTACCTAAGCTTCTCTAGAACAGCACATCGCCCAAGACCTCCAAACACCCGAAACGGGCTTCGAGTGCGGAAGCATTGGGGCCCCGGCATAAACATATCAATAAGTTCGACTCTCAAACACAAACGGCATACCAGACAGTAGGAGATGCAGCCTAAACGCCATTCGCCCCGGTGGTGCGGAAAGAATCCTAAACTTAAGCCCGAAACCCCTTCGACCCCTAAACCCCAAACCCTACTTGTCTGCTGTAGGTTACCTAAGAATCCTGGAAGGTGTTTTATCGTAAGAACCTACAACTTCTCAGTGCGAAGGTGAACGGATGGGGTGTGATGTGCTCCCACCGCTCCGGAGAGACGGAGGACACCACGATCGCGGATTTGGCTGTCCCTCGGGTTGGTTTTAAATGCAGGGTCCAGAGGAATGTTTCGGTCAAGGGGTACAATGAGGGACCCATTAGAAGGGACCCTTATTCTTGTTTCCCTAAATACCCCCCAATCCCTTATACAGTCCCTATATACCTAAGTTGCCAAACCCTAAATGCCCCTAAGGTCTCTTATAAGGGTCCCTCCTTCAGTCCCTGAATATCCCTGAACATTGGGAATGTTTCGGGTAGTCTGGGCCTCCATGGGGGTTCGAGGCGAGGGAGCATTCCAGTATTTAAGGAGTGCCGAAGCTGCGGCATATAGGGTTTTAGGTTTCAGGGTTTAGGGTTTAGGGTTTAGGGTACTTACTTGTGGCCAAAGAACTGGCATCATGTGGTTTCACAAATGTTGTACCCTCTCAAAGTCACTCCGCTTCTCCTCTCCGGATCCCCAGTCAAATGCTTCCTCGAAGGGCTTCTTTTCCCCAGAGTTCGAATCCTGAAGTACACCTACCGTATCCCCCCTGATCCACCGAGCATGGGGGGTACTACCCGATTCAGGGCTGTGAGTATAAGGGGGAGCATCCCAGGGTTTCCAGGTTATAGTTATAGGGTTTACTTGCCCATTGGGAACGTCCACAACTCCAATAACCAAGGGGGAAAAAGGTTCAACTTTATGAAGGACTGTTAGTATAAGGGGGAACATCCCAAAAATAGCAACCCTTCGAAACCCCGTAGAGCGCGCATGTCGAGGTGGGTCTGTGCACTGGCCAGATCAAGACCGGTGCCCCATGCCGCTCCGACCGCAATGCCAAGTACAATCAGCTGATGCGCATCGAGGAGGCAGCGGCTTGGGGTTTGGGGTTTAGGTTGCTTTTTCTGGCATTTCGCACCCAGCCCAGATGGAAAAAAAAGGGTTTAGGGTTAAACCACCATGCGCCTCCGAAAGCATCGATGCTCGTGATTCTAGCTTTTCGAGGGCTTAGGGTTTTGGGGTTGACCACGGTATGGCCTCGGTCCGGGTTCACAAACAGGAGCTGGGCGACAAGTGCGCCTACGCCGGCGAGAGCTGGCGCAAGCCCGTGTGGATGGCTGCCTGAGGAGGTAGTTTTGCGGGCGGGCGAACGATTCGTTGCCAATTGTTCTGGTGATACAAACATGTCGTGATGGTTGTTGCGTTTTCATGTCGATGGAGGGTGAGGGCGATTTTGGGGTTCAGGATTTTGCGCCTTTGGCGTTTAGAGCCTACAGGTGTCTGGGTGTGCGTTTCTCATGTGGGGGTCAAAGGCGATAGCCGGACTGTGGTATACCTGTCCTTCTTCAACAGCAGCGGGCCCCTGTGGCATTGATGGATACGTCCATGGCAACCCGTTTTGTTTTCGTTGTTTTGGGCTTCGGGTTTCCCTCTTTTCCCAAGGATACTTCAGAACTGTAGCTGTTCAAAAGACTTGTCCCCAAAAGAACCCGAAGTTCGCTTCCATTGGTACTGCGCCGCGTTTAAAGAGACTGGTCCATGCCTTCATAAGGGATCCTTGCGAACCTCCCCCCCCCCCCCCAATGCAGAGCTTCCCGATGTCTTTAAAGGTCTCCCCCAGCGTCACTGCCAAGCAGCCCTCACTCGCCTCACGAAGACCTAATCTAAACCTTACTAGGGACTTGTCATAAGTGTAGGGTACATTCGCCCAGTCCCAAAGATCATCATGACTCCCTACCCTAGATGCATCCCTCCCGTTCCGTCCTTTTGCAGGTGTCTCTTCCGCCTCCCTCTGCCGATCAATTCGCTCGTGACCGTTTTGCCCTACAGGGGCAGATCTTCTGGGTCTTCACTTCCTAGAGCCATAGATTTTACAGGGTGAAGGGATCACCTGGTGGCCTGGCTTTACATGAACTGAACTGCGCTCCTTGAATCTTATGCAGTGCAGAGTCCACCTCCCCTAAACCCTAAACCCTAAACCCTAAACCCTAAACCCTAAACCCTAAGCCCTAAGCCCTAAACCCTAAACCCTAAACCCTAACCCGAAACCCCCCTCAAGCAGGCAAGATTGTCATGCCGCACAGAAGCCGAACTACCAGGCTCCAGACAGGCAACGCACTGATGTTTTCTAGATGCCTCCACATGGGCGTTTCCGAAACTAGGGGTACCTCAATTGGGGGGTCTTTATTCTTAGGGAATCCGACTATTTGGGGGACTATATTGAGGGTTCCCTATCTTCGTCAACCCCCGGACATCTTCAGAAGACCCAGAGAGCAAGTTCTGGACATCGATTCATCAACAGCCCCCTGGGCTGCCCAGCCCAGTTTGCGCTGAGCTGTGGAGCTGGCATGTCTTTTCCCTGATCGGCTTCCATTCTGAAAGTAGGGTTTAGGGTTTAGGGTTTAGGGTTTAGGGTTTAGGGTTTAGGGTTTCGGTGGGTGTATGTCGATGTAGCTCAATGCCATTACCTCGTCAGCAAAATCAGGAGGAACCCTGAACCCTAAACCCTACGAATTGCTTAAGAACCCCGAAAAACTGAAAGATGTTCTTCCTACATTATTGTTTTTGATTCGTTTGGGGTTCTGAAGCATATAGTAGAACCCTAAGCCGCAAGTCTTGCGATCATCACTGTCTGGGCATGCCAGGCGCCATTTTCAAAACAGGAAACTCTTTGCCACGCTGACCTGGTCAGGAAAAAAGTGCCGACACGAGCGACAGATCATGTGGCGAAGGCTAGACTCAGTACAGACTTGAACAGTCAATAGTTGAACTTTAAACGTTTAGGGTTTCCGTATTTGTTGCCAGATTAAAGTTTAACCTTGTTATGTTTCCGTGGCTATTGGAGAAGTATGTCGAGTGACTTGAGAATGTGACTGCCTTTGGTGCTTGCGGCACATCCATCGGTTCAATTTCTCAGCATTGAGGAGTCTGAGGCTGGTCGTGACTGGACCTTCGGCTGCCGCGCACGCTGACTGGCAGTCGGTTTGCAATCCCCTAAACCCTAAACCTTGTAAACCCTAACCCCTAGTTTATAATCCTAAGCCGTAAACCCTAAGCCTTATAAACCCTAAAACTCGCAAAACCAGATAAACCTTGAAGGCTGAAGCCCTGTCGCTGCATGACTCAAGTCTCCAGCGCTCTTCCCTCATCCTAGGAACTCGGCCCCAGATGCAAACCATGAGGACCTGTACCAGTCCGGGCCTCTTTGGGTTCTGGGGTTGAGGGTTTAGGGCTTAGGGCTTAGGGATTAGGGCTGCGAAAAAAGGGGTTCAGGGTCTAGCTTCGGGCCCTCAGTCCGGCTGCCAGAAAGGGCTTACGGTTTCTGGTTGAGGGTTCAGGGTTCAGGGTTGCATCTACAGGCAGGATACCGAAGGAGGCCGCGTGGTTGTGTGTCGCCGCAGCAGAGTCCTACTTGCCTGCGTGCTTGCATGTGCTTGCCCAGCAAGATCCGCAGGCAGTGGCTCAGAGAGGACTTTGGTAGGCATTGTCGTGTCTCGACATCCTCGTTTTCCCCATGGCATTCCTTCGCACATCGCTGAACCTTGGAATGTTTTCAGGTCTTGTCTGAGATAATAGTTGACACGAACAAAAAATAGCAATACAAATTGGTAATCATTCTAATGATCATAATTATCATAGCAACAATATATTGATTAACATATTGGGAATATTGGAATCAGAACGGAATCTGGGATGTGGCATGCGAGTTTCCCCGCCCGGATCCTTGGAGAGAGAGTGACTCCGAGAGGCCTCGGAAGGAAGGGAAGGACAGGACAGGAAATGAAAGGGACAGCACAGGCAAGGAAAGGAAGGGGAGGGAAGCAAAGGGAAGGAGAGGGAAGGGAAGGGAAGGTAAGGAAGGAATAGAGAGATGGAGTTAGAGAGAGAATGAGTGAGTGTGAGCGAGCGTCTGTGACTTCACATGCCGCTTGGCCTTGCGAAAGCTTTTGTGGGGGATGGGGGGATGTGGGGGGGGATGTGCAAGGACGGACCTGTAGGTGAAGCACGTGAAATTTCCCCGATGCCTTGGCTTGCTTGTGCATGACCCCGGTCCGGGGCCCGCAACTGAGGGGGGGGATTAGGGTTTAGGGTTTAGGGTTTAGGATTTAGGTTTAGGATTTAGGGTTTAGGGTTTAGGGTTTAGGTGGGGGGGTTGTATTATGTGAGTGCCGGACTTGTCCGGAAGGGTTTTTCTTTTCGAGAGGCTTGGTCGTGCAGGCGTTTCCTTGGGTTCTTGCCTAGACCCTAAACCTTCTAAACTGGGCGTATCTGGTCTTGTGTGGCCCATGTAGATTTCTTTGTGGGGTTTGGAGTTTAGGGTTGTGTTGTGACCAAATTGAATGAAGCCAAAAAACTGCGAGCTTTTTTTGCCTGAGTAGTACTGCTAACCTAGAATTCCAAGCATGGTTCAATTAAGGGCTGGCTTGGTCCCCGGGGTTTTGACACTGTCACACCGGTGTGGCCGTGGGGACAACCAGGAGACACAGAACTCACGCAGAGGGTCAAGAGAATCAGTGAGAGAAAGAAAGAGAGCAAGAGAGGGAGAGAGGAGGCTTGAATGCCGCCGGGAGCAGAAGCATGTAAAACCAGATGGAGCGCAACGCATCAGGATTGCGTTCTTGCTTGCCCTCGGCACCGGTGCACATGGTGCCAACGAGACGGCAGCGTCGCTTAGCTGCCTGTTGCACGTCGAGTTTTTGTGTGATCTAGTAGGCTGGCCCTGGCTGATGTGCCTGCCAGGCTCGCTCGCGACACCTCATCATGCCACCAACTGCCCCAAGCCCTAAGCCTAAGAAGCCCCAAGCCATCCCTGAGCCCGGCCCAACACAAGAGTCCCCCCCCCCCCCCCCAGGAAAACGCCCCAAAAAAGCCCTCGAAGATGCCACCCGTTAGCTGCCTTAGCTTTTCGATTCCTGAAGTCTGGGAACCCTCTAAACAACCCTAAACCCTACACCCTAAACCCTAAAGAGCCCAAACCCTAACCCCCCCCCCCCCCCCCCCAAAAAAAAAAAAAACAAATATATATATATATATATATACAAAAAAGAAGACAAAATCAGAAGTAACGCCACCGGAATCCCAGGACAGGCGACTCCAAGAGTGAGCCGCCCGTGAACGCGACAAATGCCACCAAGGAGGGGCTGGGCTTTTTAGGGTTTAGGGTTTAGGGTTTAGGGTAGGGTTTAGGGTTTAGGGTTTAGGGTTTAGGGTTTAGGTTTAGGGTTTAGGTTTAGGGTTCAGGGTAGGTTGGTCGAGGGTGCAGAGCGTTGAGAAGGTTTAGGGTTTAGGGTACGTAGGGCAGGTCGGGTTGAGAGGTGGTTCGATGGGTCTACGAGGGTATGAGAGGGTTGGGTCAGGAATCAAGAGGGGTTTAGGTGGGCGTTGAAGACTTTAGCGGTTTTTTTTTGGTTTGGGGGGGGATCACTTGGGCCCCTCAAGGCCAGGTAGAATTCCAGGGTGTTGACGCATCATGTCGGTGCAGGCCGCGAAAGAGCTGGAGCCGCCTATGGGAAAGGAGGAGGTGGGCAAGCAAGTGTCAAAAGGCGAACTAGCAAGTCATTGCATTTGACTGTCTTGAATGTGGGGAAAGCTCCGGGCCATGGGCCGTGACTACGACTTGAGTGGATATCCTAAACCCCAGACCCCTTATTCGAAGGGGTGATCCTGATCCCATGGCCACACTGCTCGAGCTCTTAATGGCCCAACTTTCGATAGCTAGGGTTCAGGGTTTTGGGTATAGGTGCTTTCAAAAGCTGGGCCCCCCCCCCCCCCACACAACACCCCCCCCCCCCAAAAATCACCACAAACACCAAACACCCAACCACCCCCCCAACAAAGTTGTTTTTCACAAACCCCACCCACCACACTTAACCGACAGCCCTACTGAACCCCCTACACCCGGCCGAAGAGGCCTATAAACCCGAAGCCCTAGATCCGAAACCCTGAAAGGGGCAAAATTAGGTGAGAGTCGTGAGAGTCGAAATAGGCTAAAAGAAAAATCGCACCTCAACTAATCCCCAAAATCTCAACAAATCCTCAAACCTAAGTCATCCTACATCCCTTTCCTTGGAGGCCCAACGAACCTTAACAGGCTGCTCCCACAGTAAACGAACCATTAGAGAGGTGCTGATTGGCCCACTAAATACGGTCGTTACTAGGGTTAAATTCAAAGAGATAGGAGGTAGTAGTAGTGTAGTAGGCATGTGAATTTAAGAGGTGGTACTTTGGGAACATGAGCTTCTCGCTGCCCTAAGCCTGTGAGCCAATTGAGCTTGCAGTCTCCCAGCGTGGTTTAGTCTGGTTCTGCGCGGCCCTCAGAAGTAGGAGCGCTTCCTTCTGTTTTGGCATGCCTCCTTCTAAGCCTGAAGGCGATGATGCCGTATTGTAGCACAGTTGAGTACAGAGTCATTCTCCTCGTATCCGTCATGGTTTAAAAAGGTTTGAGGGTGTTTGGGTCCCCTATCTGAAACCATGCACCCTAAACCCCAACCCTACCCCAACCCTGAACCCTAAACCCGAAACCCTAACTGAAGCCATGCAGCCAGGTTTCTGGGCCTGGACTCAAGGTCAAGCGAGGCGGACTGGTTGGCTTCGGGGTTTTTGTTGGGAGGTCAGGGGGCCCATGTGGGAGTTTGCCAAACTGGACTTGCAACGTAGTAAAGGATTTCTTACAACATAAGCACTCAAGATACTCGAGTATAAGAATACCCTATTAGTTTCCGGACCCCTCCCCCCCCCCCCCCATGTCAGGCCCTGAGGCCTCCAACTGCCGGCAGCTGGGTTGGTTTCGGGTGTTCAGGGTTCAGGGTTTAGCGCCCAGTTCCTCAGTTCCCAGGTTGGCGAAAGAGTGGACAAGAATTTCCAGCAACAGTGCGGGGGTCAAAGTTCGGGCAGATTGGCGCACTCCATACCCAGCTATACCTCTTTTAACACAACACACGCAACACACGGAACGAACACACACACACACACACACACACACACACACACACACACACGCACACGCACACGCACACGCACACGCACACGCACACGCACGCGCACGCGCACGCGCACCCGCACGCGCACGCGCACGCGCACGCGCACGCGCACGCGCACGCGCAACAGCGCACGCGCCCAGCGACGCGCACGCGCACGGGCGGCAACGCGCACGCGACCCGGCACCAGCACCCGCACACGCAAACGCACACGCACAAGCACACGCACACGCACAAGCACACGCACCAACACGCACACCACGCACACACGCCACCACGAACACCCGCACACAAGAACACGACACACGCACACGCACCACGCACACGCACACGCCAACGCACACGCAACGCACACCCACACAGACAACAGACAACACAAACACACCACACACACAAGCACACACAAATTTCAGGGAGAGAAGAAACCACAACAGCAACACACACAACACACACCAGACACACAGCCACACAGACACACACACACACACAACACACACACACACCACACCCACCACGCAAGCACGCAACGCACGCGACGCACGCACGCACGCCACGCACGCCCGCACGCACGCACGCACGCACGGCACGCACGCACGCACGCACCCAAGCACACACGCACCCACGCCCACACGCACCACGCACCCACGCAGCACGCCGCACGCACGCAAGCACCACGCACGCAGGCACGCACGCACACGCACGCACAACCTACGCACGCACGCCGCCGCACCAGCGCCGCCAGCGCACCTGCGGCGCGCACGCACGGCCCGCGCGCGCACCGCGCCCGCAAGCGCGCAGCGCGCACGCACGCGCACGCACGAGCGCAAGCGCGAGCGCTGAGCGCACGCGGTCTACGCGTCACGCGACGCGCACTGCGCACGCACAACCACACCACACCCACACCCCACGCCCACACCCACACCCACACCCACACCCACACCCACGCACGCACGCACCCACGCACCCACGCACGCACGAACGAACACACGCACGCGCACGCGCACGCACCCACACGCAACACACGCAACACACGCAACACACGCAACACACGCAAACCACGCAAATCGCAGCACACGCGCACACGCACGCACACACGCACACACGCACGCACGCACGCACGCACGCACGCACGCACGCACGCACGCACGCACGCACGCACACACACACACAGAGACACACACACACACAGAGACACACAGACACACACACACACACACACAGAGACACACAGACACACACACACACACATAGACACACATACACACACACACACACAGAGACACACAGAGACACACAGACACACAGACACACACACACACACACAGACACACAGACACACAGACACACAGACACACACACACACACACAGACACACAGACACACAGACACACACACACACACACACACACACACAGACACACAGACACACACACACACACACACCAACACCAACACCAACACCAACACCAACACCAACACCAACACCAACACCAACACCAACACCAGAGAGATAAGACCCCAGACTTCCTTAGAGGAAACCCATGGGCAGAAAAAAACTCATGTCCAAGGCAATGGGCAGGCCGAGCTTGTTTCCCCAAGGATAGATGGCACTAGCTGATGTAGGGGTTGGAATAACTACAAGTAGTATTCCCTTATGGTCCCCTTTTATAAGTACACTACAATCACCCCCCAAAACCCTGTTCTACTTATTGTTTTCCCTATATTAGGCAGCTAGGCATTGCAACTTGGAACCCTGGTCATCGACTGCGAGCCTTTGAGCTGGGAAGGCCAATTGCCGGGCCCGGATGTCATCCGCATTGTGCACATCAGCGACACGCACAGCCTCCACCGAAGCAACTGGCAAGAAGAAAGGACCAGATGGGTTCCGGTAGTTTAAGTGCAGTGGTCAGACACAACATAGGTCTTCTCGGGTATCGCGTTTCCTCGCGCTCCCTTCAAGAAAGGCCCCTGCCCCTGATACTCGGCATCGGCCCGCGCAATGCTATGCAATGTAACACCAGGGCGTTTCCAAACGGCCAAGTCATAGGCTGCTGCAGAAGACAGAAAAAGTATTTCATTAACCCATTTTACCTCAAATGTGACTCCCATCAAGCGAGAGTGATCCCAAAAACAAGGACTCTAGTTTAGAGCAGCACGCCACCCTCCCCCCCCCCCGCCCAGAAAACCTAAACCCTACACCCTCCCTAGCCCCCAAACCCTTGTGAAAACCCTAAAACCTAAGACCCGAAACCCTCAAAAAACTAAGCAACCCCCAGCCCGCAGCATGTAATGCATATATATATATATATCAGAATTATATATATCCATATATATATATATGTATATTATGTATCATCCCAAGTAGTCTGAGGCGCTGGCAGCTTGCCGGATGCTGACATTCTGATCCATTCTGGTGATGTGGCCAAGGCAACCTGGCCCCAATTCGGGTATAGGGCTAAACCCTAAACCCTAAACCCTAAACCCTAAACCCTAAACCCTAAACCCTAAACCCTAAACCCTAAACCCTAAACCCTAAACCCTGACCCTAAGCCCTAAACCCTAAACCCTAAACCCTAACAAAACCCTAAACCCTAAACTTCTTAAGGCTTGGGGCTTGAGAGGCTTTAGGCTTGGTGCCCTCGTGAAGATGCGACCAGCCGCACTGCAGCTGCTTGGGAACCAGGTGTCGATTTTGTCTTTGTCACGTCGCGTTCATGGCCACTTCTCCGAAAATCCGGGTTTTCGAAAGTAGGGGGTCCTGTAGAAGTATTGTAGTATTTTGGGGTATATAAGGGGTACCCTATTTTCGGAAATCCCCAAATTGGATTGCATGCACCTCAAGGGACTATTTCAGAGGAAGACGATTTACCTTATTTTCAAGACCGGCCAAGTGAGGGTTTCCGAAAATAGGAGCGGTGCCCATCATCAGGATTTTCTTCGTACTTCGGCGTATCTTCGGGGTCGGCTTTGGGCTTCCGACATTAGGGGTACCTTATTATTGGGCTCCCTTTTGTAAGAGAATCCTACTATTTGGGGGTCGGGGTTCCCGATTCTCGTAAACCCTACACCCTAAACCCTGAACCCTAAACCCTAAACCCTAAACCCCCTATTTGGGGGACATGCCCAAGTCGTAGCAAGTGAGGTGGGCTCAGAGAGCGAGCTGGGCGACTTCAACGACTGGCTTGGCAGCCTGAAGCGCCTCAGATCAAGGGTTTAGGGTTTAGAGTTTAGGGTTTAGGGTTTAAACCCGAACCCCCAAAACCCTAAACCCTGCCTCTGACGCAGATGTCGGGCGGTTGGGTCGATTTTCGGGGTTCCAGTAGTGTGCTCCTGCTCCAAGCTGATACCAAGACATGGGGTTTAGAGTGGGGCCGGCAAGTAGCAGCAGTTAGAACCCAGTTGCTGCAGCCACAGGGGCACTAATAATCTCGATGTTTGTTGCCCGGGAGGCCCGGCAAACCTCAAATTTAGAAGCCAGCTTCTACATCAAGGCTTAAGAGAACATCCCTAAACCCTAAACCCTAAACCCTAAACCGTTGAAGCTGCAGACTGGCAGCCTTCAGGTCTGTTCTGGGATGTCTGCCAGAGTAAATCTCGAAGCAGCGGCCTTCCTCCATTTGATTCCTTCTCTCCCCCCCCGGTGCGCTCGAAAACAAGTACGACAACGGTGCCCTGCGAGCCGATGAGATGACTATAACAGTGACTATAATAGAATTCTAATACTATTCCTAGTCATACATTTAAAAACTAAACAAATAATAATGAAGAGATGGCAAGAATACAGGCCAAGGAAGCCGACAAGCGAGGGTCGCAGAGCCGGCATAGGAGCTGCACATAGAGCAGATTGAGAGCAGGCCTTCTTGGCTATAGACCTTCCTCCAGGACACTTCGTTGCGACCCCTGTGTTTAACCCAGGTGCCTTCAAACAACCCCAAGTCCTTCAGGGTTCAGGGTATTTATAGTGTTCTGGGTAGAGCTTGGGGGACTCAGGTTTGGCCGTTAGCCGTGCCCCGTTGGTTGTTGTCCATTGAAAGCCAGGCCTCCCCCGCGACACGAAGGGTACTCCCTTGGGACCCCCATAGCAGGGCCTTCTCAAAATCGCTAATTAAACGGTATCCCCTCCGAGTTTTTGCGGAAACCGAACCCCTCCTCTCCCACCCACATTCATAAATCTATGACATTTTGCACCCCCAACAGGGGCAAGCCCTAAACCTAAAACCCTAAACCCTAAACCCACAGGGGCAAGTACAAGCACATCCTGGTCATCTCTGGCAACCACGACTTCTGGGACACGAACTGGAGGCCAGTTACACGCAGCCCAAGGTGTTTAGGGTTTAGGGTTTAGGGTTTAGGGGTTCTACTTGGAGGTTCATGGTTCTTATGAACCCATTATACCTGTACTTATGACTGTACTTGTAAACCATATCAGGGCACTTAAGAACTGTACTTATAAACCATATTAGGGCACTTAGGCTGCCTATAAGTGGGTTGTAGGTACAGTTGTAATTGGTTAATAAGTACGAGCCTCCAAGTAGGTGACAAGGAACTCTGACTGACGAGTCTCGGTTTTTACAGCTAGGATGGGGATAGATGAACTATATCCCCCTTGGGAATCATTTTTTATTTTTGTGTATATAAAACCCAAGGGGACATTAAACATGTCATTTTTATATAGGTTCTAAGGGGAGTATAGTTAAAAGCACCTGACAGAGCCAGCGAGTCTTGCAAGACATGTGCGTCTGTCCAGTGGTGCCAGTTTGGGGGGTTAGGGCCCCCCCCCGGCATTGATGTAGGGAACACTCTTTTTCCTTTTGCCGGGTTGCTCCTAGCGAGGGCCGAGGTGCTTGATGGAACAGACAGGTGCCGGGACGGCTAGCAGAGCACCGGAGCTGGCAAGCCGCGCCAACCCTGAACGTGCCCTGTGGCTTTGGTGGATCGGTTGTGAGTGGACTTAGTGGTTGGTGTGATGGTGTGACCTGTTGGGGGTGTTAGGGCTGGCGTGAAACTTAGACATTTCCTCAACTTGGGCTCTGAAGTTTGTGCATAGCATTCCCTCTTCAGTTGCCCCGTGGAACATTGCTAGACGGGTGGCAAAAAAAAACCTAAACCCTAAACCCTAAACCCTAAACCCTAAACCCTAAACCCTAAACCCTAACCCTAAACCCTAAACCCTAAACCCTAACCCTAAACCCTAAATAAACCCTAAACCCTAATCCCTCCTATGCTGAGAGGTTGAACCGCGGACACATCTCCAACGAGGTCGCCCAAGACCCGGCCTACTTCCAGCGCCATGTCCATGACCACGTAGGGGTTTAGGGTTTAGGGTTTAGGGTTTAGGGTTTAGTGTTTGGAATCCCAAGTTTGGGGGGAGTTAGGACAGAACCAAGTAGAATCAACATTACCCTTAAGAGACTCATGTATACTCCATCTCCATCTACCTCTAGGGGCCCCTTCTAAAGACTCAAAGACTGACACGACGTTTTGGGGGATGGGAGCTCCCTAAACCCTAAACCCTAAACCGGTCCGCAAGGTACAGGATCACGAATGCGCGAGTCCTCAACCACGATCTCGCCGAGGCAGTGTCCGACTCCCCGCACTTCAGGATGTAACGGGTAGGGTTTGTTTAGGGCTTAGGGTTCCTCATCCCTTCTGGTCGGAAATGGGGTCTGGCTCAACCCATGCGAGCTAACTCTATGGGGCGCAATACTCCTCAGGCATTCCTCATCTCGCACTACGCGCCTAAACCCTAAAACCCTAAACCGGCCGAAGGAGTTCAAAGCATTTGCCTGCGCAACGGGTTTAAGACAGTCTTCGCAAACGCCAACCCCGCCTGCGCTCTGATAATGTCGGATTCTGGAAGCCGTTCTCTGGAAGTTCTGGGCCCTCACCGAAACCTTTCTGGGGACCTGCAGCGTCCGGCCGAGCTCGTCGCGCAAGGGCGACTTGACATTTCGGACATTTTGGGGAGTGGGGAGCGAATTTCGCTCGACCTACATGGGGATCTTGATCCAGAACCCTTACTAAAACCGAAAACCCCAAACCCGACCCAACCATACCCAACCGACACAGCCAACCCAAACTCCAGACAGGCCCCAACTGTTACCGGCTAGACGGGCAGCAGCCAAGCTAGAATGATCCTGAGCCTCTGCCAGACCCCCCCACAAAAAGCTGCAGCAAACCCTAAACCCTAAACCCTAAACCCTAAACGCAGGTCATGGGCCTTAAGATTTGGGGCGCCGGCTGGCATCCCCGGAGGGGAGATTCCCGGTCGGGCAACAACTACGCAGACATCCCGGCAGGCTGCTTGGGGCTTTATTTAGGTGGTTTTAATAGGGTTTAGGGTTTAGGGGTTTAGAGCGTTTAGAGGGCTTTTTTTTCATGTGTTTTAAGGGTCTAGTATGCTACCCCCTGTATAAACTTTAGAAGGACGAATGTTTTTTCTTTTGTAGGGTTTATAGGGTTTATGGAGTGCGTAGGGTGTTTAGGGTTTTTCGGGTTGTTAGGGTTTTAGGGCTTACAGGGCTCAGGCTGAATTGGATCTAGTTTCGGGTTTAGGGTTCAGGGATCAGTTCCTGTCAAAGAAACGACAGCGGGCCTGTCTGCCAAGAGTAAAGGGTTCACCGTCATAGGGTTCATAGGGTTTCGACTTGCCTGGGGTCCCTGGGCCCCCATTAGCTACCGTGAATTTTCAGCTCTAGCTGAAGCAGTTGGAGGGGTGGCTGTGGCTTGTATAGCGCTTGTAACCTGCTAGTTCTCGGGTTTTCGTGTAGAGTTTTAAATCATTTTCGATGTTTAAGTTATCTGGCTGGTTAGCTCCCGCAGTCCCACTGCGAGTTCCGAACCTGCATGGAGCCCACACCGCACGAAGAGCTCTGCTATCTGCTGCCCATGTATAGCGCAAGGTGTTGACATCGTCGTCACCCACGAGGCGCAGCCCCGCAATTCGCGAAGCTTCGCAGCTGAGTCCGCACAGCTTCGCTTGCAGAATGAAGTGTTTTGTCAGTCGCCAAGCCTGCGGGCAGAGGCTGGATCCATACATATGCCCAATTCATGAAGTGACGGTTGCTTCATTTCGCACAAACTTGCGCCTCGCAGCTTTGACATAAGGCTTCCTGTTGACTTTGAAGGGCTCCTCCTAGGACTGAAACCAGCTTGACGTATACGAAGCTGTAAGCGGGTGCGTGCCTTGGCCATGGGCAAGACAGTCGTGGCACGGGCCCAGAGCAAACCACAGAACAACTCAGCACGGAGAAACTCCGTGGTTCTGGGGGACTCTTTCAGTAATTATTTGTTGATTTGTGTGAAGTCTCGTTGTGTTTCCCGAACTATTGGCAGACCACTGGAGCCCTAAAGGCCTCTGTCGTGCATGACTATACGCTTTGCATTACGTTTTATGGAGTGAAGCAGGGGCATGCAGTGTATGCGTTGTGGCGGAAACCGGCTTTCAAGCACCTAAGCCCTCCCTGTGTGTAAGTACTATAAACCCTAAACCCTATAAACCCTATAAACCCTATAAACCCTATAAACCATAAACCCTATAAACCCTACACCCTATAAACCCTATAAACCAAACCCTGTGCGTGGCCTTACCAGTTTTTTCTTCCCTTGTCGAAGGCGCCATTTGGCATCTTCGACATGACTGGGGGCGGCCACTGGGGCTCCAGCACGCAGCTGCCCCTTGGGCTTCTCCGTTTTTAGGGTTTAGGGTTTGGGGTTTGGAGTTATAGGGTTTGGGGTTTAGAGTTATAGGGTTTAGGGTTTAGAGTTATAGGGTTTGGGGTTTAGAGTTACAGGGCTTAGGGTTGCTCGCTGTGCGTGGGCTTGAACTTGACATCTCTTGAAGGGCAGTGTGACACGTGCCTGCGATTTCTGGTTTTTCAACCTCGGGTGCTTGTCGGAGAGCTTGCTGAAGGCACGTTTTTGTCAAGTCGGCGGCTTGTCGATAGCTTGGGAAGACAATGGGTGCTTTGCGGGTCTAGGCCCCGGCTGTTTAGGGCTTGTAGGGCACAGGGTGCTTATGGGACACCAGAATGTGTGGTTTATAGGCTATAGGGTTTTACCGTTGCTTGTCGATCTTGTATAGGGTGTAACAATTTAACAGTCAGCCCGAAGCCAAGACACTAACTCAATCTTTTCCCAAAATTCCCTCGCAGTCGTTCTGTGCCAGGCTCGATGCCATCTACCGCACCAAGCCCAAGGCAGCTCAGGGGGTGTACGGGGTTAGGGTTTAGAGTAGTTTGGGCCTCATGGGCCTGCAGGTTTGTGATGTCATATGCCCGGATTGAGAGATTCCACTGTATCCTTGCTGTTTTAAGCAAGTTCGGACTAGATAATTCTGCACTTGGAGATTGTTCTGCGTTAGTTAGTAGGGTTCTCCAACCTAGAGCAATGAAGCTCCCGGCAGAGGTGCATCTCTTTGGACACATTCACGAGCAGCGCGGGCAGTGGAACAAGGCAGGGGATGTATTGTGGGGACCGGCTTTGAGGCACTGAGAATTGGCAGTTGCATTATTGCTCTTGGCAACCTGTGCGTCGGCTTGCTTTGTTTTCTTGCCGGCAAGACTGACTCGGCACTTGCTTGTCGGCAGATTTTGCACGCCAGATAGGTTGGATAACTTGCTAAGAAACATCCCGACTCCTGCAAGGCTATGGGGGGGCACCACCTTTTCTCGCCCTCCCTTCCCTGCCTCTCTCTCTCTCTCTCTACACACACATATATATATATTATACATATATGCATATCTATCTATCGATCTACTATAAGTATCTATTTCAACTTGCTCTTGATTGCACTGGCTTTGCCGGACCTGCCTGCATGCCCTGTGCGAGCGTGAGCATCGAAGTGCTGTAAAGCTCTAAACTCTTTAACCTCGCTTTTGTTCAACAAGGGTTAGCTCTTGCTCTCACCAAGTAAAACACAGATTATTTATATACATATAATTACACATATATATATATATATTTATATTTATATTTATATATATTCAGCCAAAAAAAATATATATATATATATACATATATATTTTTTTTCAGCCAGGAGAGTCCCATAAAGCCCTGAAAACCCCAAACCCTAAGCCCACGAATAGAAGCGGAAGGCGGGAAGCCAGTTCCAGGGCGGCGTCGAGTATCGTCCCAACCCGCTGCTTGGCCAGGAAGTGCTAGGTTTGGGGTGGGGGGGGGGGGTTGGGTTTAGGGACCCTAAACCCTAAACCCTAAACCCTACCCTAGTCGAAGAAAGTCCTCGCCTGCATTTCGCCAGCGTGAGAGTCGAAACCCGAAAGCCTAAACTCCGATGCTTTGCCTTCAACCCTGCGGGCAAAAGGGTGTAAGAATGTGCCGCGCGACCAAGACCCTCTACCCACTACCTTGGGACCATATGAACCCTAAAATAGGGGTCCTATACCCTGACTACAAGTATTTTCCGATGAAGGTATATGAACCATGAACCCTTCCGGGGTTCATTTCGTCTCTAAGGTAGGCTCCTCAACCTTAGACCGTCCAGAGTGTCGCGAATGCGTCTCAGACTTGAAAGTTTGCTATGCACCACAGAAAGGGACCCACCAGCTAGAGATGTGCACCCAGTGCATGCCCTGCGGGCGGAACTACCCTAAACCCTAGACCCTAAACCCTAAACCCTAAACCCTCCGTTTGCAGGCATTCCGGACAGGTCTTCCGCCCCAACGGCCCCCCGCCTCAGAACTATCCGGTGGAGGCGCGACCTTTTGACATCTTCTAAACTCTACACTTCTAAAACTCCTATAAATACTGTGATGGTAGTCCTTGACCTCGTTATTCCAGGTCTCCTAGTCCAAACACGCCCGGATGGTGTCGTAATAACCCGAACTCTGAGAGCCACAACTTGGGGGCTTTCGCACACCCGACCTTGTCTCCCCTCAAACGCTTGCGACACGGGGGTGGGCCAAAAAAGCAACCCTGAACCCTGAACCCTGAAACTGAGGATGACATTACAGGGTTTAGGGTTTAGGGTTTAGGGTATAGGGCCCCAGCAATCGCAAGAGGCCGAAATGGAGCTCAGGGGCGGGGGTCTAGGCGTTCAGAGTCAGTCTGTTTGGTGAGCTGCCCCCGTACTTGGATTTCGCACATGTCGGATGCATAGGGGGCTATTGCAGTCACGCCATATGAGTCAGTTGTTCAGAAAACGCACTCGTGCATGCGGGGTTTCCAACAATTTGCGCGGAAGCCCCATGAACCTCGAACCCGACATGTTGGACCCCAAGCCCGGTGTGGGTGGTTTAGGGCTTAGGGCCGAAAGCCTTTTAAACCCAGCTCTCTTAAACCAACTAAAAATCCCCAAGCCGGGAGGTCGAATCCAACAACGCCATGGCCAACCAGCCATCGGTCCCTTGGCAAGGACTCGGCGGGAGGTGCCGCAAGACTCCCTGCGCCCCAACATGGAGATTTTGACCTGCAGCAAAAACGGTTTAAACCCCCTAAGCCCTAACCCGCAAACCCTAAGCCCTAAACCCTATCAGCTCTATGATTGCTACTGACAGGATTTTGGGATTTTGGACCCTGCTGCACAAGGGGTTTATTTCGGGCCATGAGAGCGACTGTTGCTGGTAGGCTTTAGGGTTTGAAGTTAAATTGTGGCTGGGCTTTTTGCGGCGTTGCTGATAGAAGCCGTTAGGCGTGCAAGTGACTCGATGCAAGGCAGAACCACAAACTATGGCAACTCAAAGCTACCATGAAAGAGGTGAGGACTGTGAAGCCCTGGACTCCCACCCGCAGCCGCCTTCCTGTATGCACATCCTGAGAGAAACGGTCCTATAAACACCTGAAGCATGCTTAGGTCGACCACAGCTGGACCGGGGTCCCTTGGCAACTAACACTGCTGTGCTGGTTACACTTCGAAGGGCGCACACCTCTCTAGGCAAAGGAGCTGTGAGTAGTGGCCCTGGTGATGTCCCCGATGTGGTAGATGTGGAAGAAAGCCCTCACCCTGGTCAAAAACAAGGATGCAGCATGCATTCGGACCTGAAAAGCGGTCACGATCTTGAGGAGTGACAGGGAGCCTCCAGCGGCACCTGAAGCACGGAAAGTGCCCTAAACCTTAAACCCTAAACCCTAAACCCCAAACCCTGAACCCTTCAGGTTCAAACCTCAATCCACAGACTCAGATCTGGAGACATCGGAAGACATCCCCAAGTGCCGCTGGCCCTCCAAACCCTAAACCCTCAATCCTCAAACCCCCAAAAAACCAGCAAAACCAAGCAATCCTACCCCTGTGTTCAACCTGACTAAAACCTTATTGAACCGAAGCCTGTTTTAACCCTGATTTCCTTGTGTAGCCTTAGTCCCTCAACCCGAAGACACCCTAAGTAAGCTCTATACCCAGAATCCCCCTGAACCCTGAACCCTGAACCCTAAACCCTAAACCCTAAACCCTAAACCCTAAACCCTCGCCGAAGCTCTACCTCAAGGTCTGGGCCCCTCAGCACCTTGTGGGCCGTCCTCGGGTCATCATCGCAAGGCAGCCTCCGTGAGATGTCCAGGGGCGGGGGGGTAAAAGGATTTTTTTGGGGTTCAGGGTTTAGGGTTTAGGGTTTAGGGTTTAGGGTTTAGGGTAGGAGAATAGTGACTCCGGTGCCAATGAAGGATCGAAGCAGTCTCAGAGCTTCCCAAAAAGCCCAGGTGAGCCCCCATTTCATACAGCAACAGTTTTCCTGAGGCCTCGTTACAAGTGCTACGCGGGCAGTACGCGGACCGTGCGCCTAGCACGGGTCAGCCAAAAGCCCCTGCGAGCACGAAGAGAACGCAGTTGGCACACCTCCTTTTGAGCAAATTCCAGCCGAATGCGCTTCTAAAGGTGGAACCCTAAACCCCAAACCCTCAACCCTCAACCCTAAACCCGAATAGCCCTACACCCTACACCCTGAACCCTAGCTTCGCTTCGGGGAGCCCTAAACCCTAAACCCTAAACCCTAAACCCTAAACCCTAAACCCTAAACCCTAAACCCTAATTAAACCCCTGACCCCTGAATCTTCTGCGTCGAAACCCGAGAGCCAAGTCCCAGGAAGCAACCTGACGGATGGCACTTTGCTTCTGAGGCACTGGGCTGGCGCTGTGGGTTTTTGTTTGGTGTTTGTTTGTGTGCTTTGTTGTTGTTTTGTTTGTGTTTTGTGTTGTTTGTTGTTTTTTGGGTTTTTTGGTTTTTTTTAGTTATAGGGTTTCAGGCTTAGGGCTTCAGGGTTTATAGTTCATATGATTTGGTTCGCTTCGCCAGTGCCAGTGGTTCACCTGGCAGTCACCAAATCCAGCTTGAAAAACAGCTTGGCTTCATTGGTTGGTACAATCCAGGAAGGCAGATTCAAGGGTTGCGAACGGGGACTTTAATGGTTTTGACACGGGCGGCTCGATCCTGTGGAATCAGAACAGAAGCCCAATTTGGGTTTCGCTCTGTTCTTCCGTGGATGTGGACCATCCCTGTCAGTCTTGCAAGAAGGCCGGCGGCGGTTCGGATCATAAACCCTATGCTACCCACCCACCCTTAGGGTCATGGCGTCCGCAAGTTGTTTGTTTCTTTGGGGGAATATGTGGGTTTAAGGTTGGGGCGGGGGGTTCATTTCTATAAGAACAGCTGTATTCAGGCTCCATGCTATTGTTTTCTTGAGACAGGCCAGGATAACTTTGAAAACCCCCGAGAATCCCACAGAACCTGAAGCTTCCTGGTCCTGGGCTTGGTCCATGGGAGGCCTGAACACGGGCGGCAATTTGCGCAGAAGCTCCTGCACCTTGGAGAACAGCAGACACTGGGAGATAACACTCTAAACCCTGAACCCTTAACCCTAAACCCGTGTCTTACACCGGCGTACTGTAGCACACACACACACACACACTCGGACACGTTACTTTTGTGTAAGCAATAGCTTCGAACGCAGCTCGCTTCAGTCATCGCCTTGCCACATGAGGCTATTTAGTGGATTGCTGCACCATAAGCTCTTAGCACCCCTGGCTCCCTTTGCTGCTATGTTGGGTCCTTTTTTGTGCCTCTCTTTTGAGTCTTCGCGTCCTAAGCCCTCCTTCCAACCCAGATTTAGATGATCTCGTCAGGCATGCCCATTGCGACCATGGGTCGCGCGAGTCCAACAGTGAACTCGACAGAATTATTCGTGGGACGAAGTGAACCCTAAAACGGCTTAGGGCTTGTGAGGCTGATGGTCCAGCTAAGCCCTAGAGCCTAAACTCCCGAAACCCCAAACTCTAGCTATACTATATAACCCTAAACCCTATACCGCTCTCCGGGCCAATTATCCAAATATGGGGAGGTTCATTTGGTCCCCAAGGTCTGCAGTTCCCGACAAGAAACGGCCCTGCCGCTGGGATTTGGATCGATCACGTCCTTATGCCCAAAATCCAACCCCAGAAAACCCTGAGCCCTTTAGGGCTTAGGGTTTAGGGTTAAGGCAAACCCTACACCCTAAATGGCTAGATGGGTGGCAAAAAAACCCTAAACCCCAATCCCTCAAGCCGAAAAGACCCGGAAAGCTCTTTAGAAATCCCTGCCTCCTCGCAAACGCTAACGGCGCTAAACCCCAAACAGCCCCCAAAACGCCCTTAACCCTTGTAAGCCCCTGAAATCCTCTGGAGAGCCCTAAACCCTAGACCCTTGTAAGCTTCCTAAACCCTAAACCCTAAACCCCTCATGCTGACAGCCAAGCCTCGGGGGTAGGGCCGGGAAGGAGCTGACAGAGATCCGGACACGCCGACACAGCACGGAAGGCTACGTAGAAGATCGGGCAAAGCAAAGAAAGCGTGTAGGATTACCTGGAACTCGATTTACCTACAGTTTAGTAGGAACTACCCTCAACTAGTAGGTATGGCCCATAAAACTGTAGGTAAAGAGGATCCCAGGTGTACTTTATTCAAAGATCTACGGGTATTGAAACAAGGGATATCAAAATCATATAAAAGTATGGGTGATGATGCAGCACGCACGGTGACAGGGGGCTGCGGATTGTACTTGTCCATTGCTTGTATAGGGTCTCAGTATGGGCCTTGTCAGTGCTTATGATGAGGTTCCGGCTTGTGGGTTCACACAACAGGCATGTAGAATGTAGAGCTGTGGTGTCTGGGTGATCTACCCTCTTGTGGAACTAACCCGAACCCGTGTCACAGGCTGTGGGTCCCCCAATTTGTCCCCTCCCAATAGAAGTTTTGGAGTTTGGGCACTGTCGGTGTTGAACCCGTTTTCGCTGTGCGAGTGCTCGGCTGATTGCATCCTGTTATCTCGCACAGCACAGCTCCCCAATTCATGACCCACCGCTGCTGCACAGGACCGTCGGCGGCAGTTTGAAGGTTGTTGCGCTCACTCCTGAACCCTAAAAGGCCTGTGCGGCAGCTGTGTCAGAGGAGACAGTCCGCTGCCTGCGCCCTGGGTATCGTTTAACTTGGCCCTGTGCAGGTCAGCGAGCCCCCTCTCGACACGTTTTAGGCTTTTTGGGCAGTGCTGGAGATCCAGGAGTGGCTGCCACAAGTAGATCATTGTTAGTATAAATCATAGTCGTATTACTATTATTATTGTTGTTATTATTGTTGTCATTGTTGTTTTTACTATTATGTTTATTATTACTATCATTGTTATTGTTATTGTTGATCATGATGATGATGATTATTGTTATGATTATTGGTATTTGCAATTATTGTTGTTATTGGTATTGTTATTGTTCTTGTTGAGTGTCTAGCTCAGCTACTTGTATGGGTAGCTCTCCAAATTATGGGTAGTTAAATTAGGGTCCCTTTTGGGATTAGGGCCCGCCCCTTTGCAAGTGTTTGGTCAACTCCAGATCTTCAGGAAGTCTGTCCAGATGTGCGCGCGCCGCTATCTGACAGTGCACTGCTGAATGGAGCACTGATCAGGGACTCTTCGGGATTTCCTGTCAGTCTCATGCATGCCTAGCCGCCGAGCCAAATTAAGGTGTTGGATCGGCGCCGTGGGCACTTCCGGACGAGTCTCTAACTCGGAAACCAAATTCACCCCCTAAAATTGGGGGGGTTATCTTCTCTGCACTACTATAAATTCCTATTCAAGTATATGAAGCATAAACCCTCCTAGGGACCTTTCCTTCTAGACCTCTGGTCGTTTTGAAGGGCATCAGTCACAGCCCATGCGGCTCATAAGCCTCTAAACCCTGAATCCCTGGACCCTAACCCCTAAACCCTAAACCCCTAAACCCTAACCCTCTTAAAACCTAAACCTCTAAACCCTGAACTCCTAAACCGTAATCTCTGGTGGATTCGGATAGTGCTCGATGGCCCCGTGGACGTCGCAGACGCTGAAGTCTCCGTCTCACGTGCCTTTGACCGTTTAGGGTTTAGGGTTTAGGGTTTAGGGATACTTGGGCTTTGCCTTGCCAACCCGATAGTCCGATTTGTTGTTGAGGCTTAGGGTTTAGGATTTGCAGAAAGCTATTCAGGGTTTCTGGAGGGTTTTTCGGGTTGAGGGTTTAACCGAGTTTTGCTGCAAGAAATGCGTGCCGTGTCTTGACGTTGGGAGGCGCAGCGAACCAAATGGGGTTACATAACCCAACAGGAACCCTCAGCTTAACAGTGTCCCTATTTTGGGAACCCTCCCTAAGTTAGGAGGGAACGGGGGGCACATGAGCAGAGGCGCAGCTTTGAGCGGCTGAGAGGTGTTTTCCAATCAGGTCTTTTGGTCCTCTTGAGACCCACTTACAGGGTCCCGAGAGATCGACGCGAAGAAAGCACCCATATGCCCCAGAATGGCGACAGAAAACAGGACAAAGCTGCTTTAGGGTTTAGGGTTTAGGGTTTAGGGCTTTGGCTCAGCGGGCCTCTTGCAAAACTGCAGTGCTGCAGTGTCCATGAGTTTGAAGTCGGAGGTACCGCGTTGCGATCCTGGAGCATGCGAAGCAGACAGGCTGCAACGACAGCCAGGCGGAGAATTTGTCGTGGGGGGGGGGGGGTGAGCTGTTGCAAGCCGAGACCCCGCAGTAGCCCCCAAGCCCTAACCTGAATCCTAAACCCTAGCTAAACCCTAAACCATTGCTTCCGTGCTTCCTGCCAGGCCATCATGGATGCCTTGCTGATGCGGCACGTGAAGAAATCCGACTTCCCGGCCACATTCCCAGATGTTAGCTGCGCCGCGTTGGGGGTGAATGCGTGTCCTGCTAAACCCTAGACCCTGAAACCTAAAACCCTAAACCGCAGTGATTTCACACAATTCCTGGCGTGTGCTGGACACATCGGGCCATAGAAACAAGGCAGCAACCCGAAATTCCACTGGGGCAAACGAACCCAAACCCCAGACCACACTAAAACCCCTTACACCCCCTAAACCCCCTTACATCCCCTAAACCCCCCATTAAACCCCCTCTAAACCCCCCTAAACCCCCCTATACAAGCCCTGTAGCCCCAAAAACCATCCTAAAACCCCAAAACTCATGTCCGCGCGAGGCCATGCCCTTTGGATACAGCCAGGCCAGGGCTGGATCTCTGGGGGCTCATTGTACCCTAAAAGGGTTTCGGGTTTAGTTTAGGGTTTAGGGGGTTTGAGGGTTTGGCTCTTGGGTGTATATCCTGTATATCCTCAAAACGCACATGTCGGGGGTTTTCCGAAATTCGGGGTACCTTACTGGGGTCCTTCTTATCAGGGGATCCTACTATCTGGGGGTCTATAATAAGGGTCCCGTATTTTCGGAAACCCCCACATAACTGCACACCTAATTTGAGTTACGGCAGTCTGGAATTTGGTGATCCCAAATATTGGGATTCATTTGGCCAAAAAGGTTGCTTCTTCTTGGGGTCAAAAAGCTCCAGATGCAGCGGTTTGGGGGCCCAAACCCTAACCTGTAGACCCTAAACAGGGTGGCTGGACGGGTGGCAAAAACCCTGTTCATGCGATGTCTGCAAGGGCGAAACGGTGGTGGGGGGAAGCTGGGGTGTTCACGGATCTCCATCAAGAGCCGAGCCATCTTGTCTAGGACCCGGAGTAGGCCCTTATTCCCCCTTGTTGGGGGGAGTTTAGGTTCTCAAAGCACCTTACAACTAAGCAGGGTTCCCTTGTTATTCCCAGGTCCCTCGTTAGAAGCACCTTAAATTCAGCAACCTTTTTTGTTCCTCAAGGCCCCTCTTGGGTCTGTGTTGTGCTCCTTCCGCAGGACGGCTTCTTCATTGAGCCTCCCCCGCCAGATGTGCAGGCCTGGACAAGCTCCGCAACCAAGGGGGTCCACCAATCAATGAACCCGTAAATATGGATCCTTAATCGGGTTTAGAGTAGTAGAGGTTCATGTACCTTAATATGGGTTAGAGTAGCATGTTTTTTTTTCGTGTTGCCTTCGAAGAGACGGCGGTGATCAACTGGCAAGGGGGCTGTCCCGTCTGCCAGACAACAACCCTAAGGCCCCCTGGTAGGAGGACAAAACCCATCTAGGTTCTACAACCCCCAAAGCCCTAAAGCCTCTAAAGCCCCCTAAACCCTCAACCCTAGATCAATGCCAGACCTGAAAACCAATTTCCCCTTTCTCTAGCTTTTCGCTCATAGTTTGGACGCATTGCATCCCTGCAGTGTGGTTGCGAGGCTGCTAGGCAGGTGACCACCAAACCCTAAATCCTAAACCCAAACACAAAAACCCAAAGTCCCTGCGGAGCGGAAACCGTGTGTGGTGTGTGCAGTGCGCGTGGCAAAGAACCCTAAACCCTAAACCCCAAACCCCAAACCCCAAACCCCAAACCCCAAACCCCAAACCCCAAACCCTAAACCCTAAACCCTAGACCCTAAACAACCAAGAAGTTAGGTTCTTGGAGCCTCTCAAGGCACCTACCTGGCAGAAGTCGAACAGCAGCCTGGGGATGCCGGCGGCCATGCCGGATTCCCACAGCCCTTCCCGTCTTGGAGGGTTTAGGGTTTGGGGTTTGGGGTTTAAGGTTTGGGGTTTGGGGTTGAGGGTTGAGGGTGTGGGGTTTAGGGTTTAGGGTTTCGGGTTTAAGTTTCGGATTTAGGGTTGAGGGTTTAGGGTTCTTGAGAAAGAAGAAAACGCGTAGTAGTAAGGCTTTTTCAGTGAACCCAGATGCACAGAAAACATGGTGTAGGTTTTTGGTCTTGGGGAATTCTTCACATCACGTGGGGGTTAGGGCTTAGGGTTTTGGGGTCTGGAGGTCTAAATTTCAGGGCCCCTGTTGGGATGTCATTGCTGAAACACATTTTTACGAATACTTAAACCCAGTAAGGAACAAACATGATCATTTTTAAACTGGAGGGGTGCCCATGGTGGTGTATGCCCGAGTGCGCCGGGGAACTTGGGAGTCGCAGCTCAATTTAGGGTTTAGGGTTAGGGCGGTTTAGGGTTCAGGGTTCAGGGTTGAGTGTGATGCTGGAACCGGGCTGCCGTGAACCGACGCCTGCTTGTAAGAAGGGTTCAGGGTTTAGGGTTCAGCCCGGATGCAAAAGGGTTCAGGGTTCAGGATTAGATTTTGGGTTTCGGGTTTAGGGTTTAGGGTTTATAGGGTTTAGTCCAATTTCCAGTTGGCGCCGTCCTCAGTCCACGCTTCAAGGAAGGGTTTAGGGTTTAGGGTTTCTGGGAGTTGGTTGTCAGCACCCATCGGTGATGTGCAGGCCTTGGCATCTTTCTTCGTTCGCATCACTTTGAACGATTTCAAGCCCTAACTCTGGGAGCTGCGAAGCCCTAAGGGCAAAACCCTATAGCTGTTCTTTCTAGGACGCCAACAACCCTAACCCCTCCCCCCAACACCCCAAACCCTAGCCCTAAACCCTCAAACCCTAAGACCCTAGATTCGTAAACCTTAAACCTTCAGACCCTGAACCCTCCGACCCTAAACCCCAATCCCCAAACCCCACACCCCAAACCCCAAACCCCAAACCCCAAACCCCAAACCCCAAACCCTAAACCCTAAACCCTACCATAGAGCGAGCCATGAAGCGCTCCCGGAGCAAGCGCCTCTTCCGAGCACGGAAGCGCCGGTGCCAAGTGGGAGCTGGCCCCCCGTCCTGGTCTAGGGTTTAGGGTTTGGGGTTTGGGGTTTGCGGTTGAGGGTTGAGGGTTGAGGGTGTAGGGAGGGTTTGCGGGCTTAGGGTTTAGGGGGGTTGTGAAAAATGGGCGCACAGTGGCTGCAAACGGTGCTAAGCCTCGAAAAGCCCTACCCCCCGCCCCTCCTCCCCTCTCTCCTGACCCAAACACCCCCAAGACCCTTGTACTCTCCCACCTCACCTCCTTAACCTCCAGAATCAGTTGTTATTCAGTGGCGCAGTTTTGACATATTTCGTACATACATGTATTATAGGCCCCTTCAATGAAGCTCCACATCTCCCTGGCCCCAGACCTTGCCTCTTTTATCGCCGGACGCCCCTGCAGCCGAGGTGCTGAAAGCACTCCCCAAGACATCAATCCCAGGAGGGCCGCCGAGGATTTGCCAGGCTTGCAGTTGTTTTGGGGGGGGGGGGTTGATAAGCTGCTATTTGCAAGAGAATCCCACAAGATGAAGAAGTATAATCCTTATAATATATTTCCCTCGTGCGTGCGTACGTGCGTGAATGCGGTTTTGGGCGGATCTCTTCGGTAATTTCAACAATCACGTCCAAGGAGACTGTTTCTCAGGCTTGGTCCACGAAGTAGCCAGTAGTCTAAACCCTAAACCCTAGACCCCAAACCCTAAACCCTAAACCCTAAACCCCTAACCCCTAAACCCCAAACCCTAACCTTAAAACCCTGACAGCTGAGAGGATGGACTAGGAGCCCAAGGTGTCTTTCTTCTATGGACCTTGAATCCTCACCTGCCTTGTGCAAGTGTGAGCATCGAAGCCCCAAACCTGAAACCCCTTTGGGGGACGGGGCTGGCACGAGGGTTTGGGAAGGCGCCTGAATCTGAGAATCTCGTAAACTTGAGCTCTGAAGTTTGTACACAGCATTCCCTCTTCAGTTGCCCCGTGGAGCATGGCTAGACGCGTGGCAAAAAAAACCCTCGCGAACCCTAAACCATGGTGACCACGCATCGCACCCCCCCAAAAAAAAGATAGACCCTGAAAACGCCTACAAAACCCCATAAAACCCTATATGAACCCGGTAACACCTATTAACCCGATGTAGT